TCTTTCCCTTTTGGGATTTGTTTGTGCTGTCCTTATAGTATGCGGCTGTGGGTTTTTCAACCTTGCTTCTCCTGAAATTTGCTTTAATATTTCCCGAAACTTTCAAGGCTACTTCTTGACTAATAAATAACAATTTATGGAGAGTTTGGATCCAATATTCTGCTCCCACAAGAATCGGACCTATGATTACTTATGCCTAGTTTGGTTAATGGGTTCAAGAGGTTTCAACCCATGAACAACGTTCCAAGCAAACCACACAATTGATATTTAGTATATATTTCCTGATGCCTATCCTAGACATCTTCTTCAGCGAATCCATTAACGGCCTAAATCAGTTTATATTTTAGTTTCCAACTTTTTGTGACAATGATACTTATACGTTGATATCTAATGCTAATGCCTTTTGCAAATGGTTGTGATGGAATTCTTCTCTATAAACAGCCTTTGATTTAATTTACTCTACAATATCTCCAAATATACAGCTTCTCTTCGTTTATTTTGTGTTTTACCACTTGAAGTTTGGCTGATGTTTTCCTGGACTTGGCTAACAGTTTACATTTGTTGCAACATCTTTTGAATTTCAGGTCTGCCTGCGGAGACATCCATTGAGAGGTTTGTAACAATTGGTGCATACTGTCTTTTGAGGTCCTGCACAATTGAGCCTGAGTGCATTATCGGACAGCATTCCATTCTCATGGAAGGTTCGTTGGTAGAGACCCACTCGATCCTGGAGGCAGGATCTGTGGTTCCGCCAGGGAGGCGAATTCCTACTGGTGAACTTTGGGCTGGAAATCCGGCACGGTTTGTCCGAGCCCTTTCCCATGAAGAAACCTTGGAGATCCCGAAACTTGCTGTCGCGATAAATGATCTGAGCAAAGAACATTTCTCAGAGTTCCTCCCGTACTCCACAGTATATTTGGAGGTTGAAAAGTTCAAAAAGTCCTTGGGGATCTCAATCTGATAACGTTATTTTCATGTTTACATTTTCTTTGGTTGGAGGTGTTCCATGTAAGGAAATAAGCAGCGCTGAGACACAAAGCATGCCTTTTGAGTTCTCTACCTTGTATTCTGATTTTTCAGGACACTGAAAAGAATTGTTTTGAAAGGTTTTTTGTAATTTATAGGCACCTGTTTAGGAAATTGCGACTCATGGGTTATATGTTAACCTTCTTTTTGGTTGGAAGTTTTATATGTTATTATTATACCGAGGGTTATTCCTTTCCTACTCCATTAAGATAGCCATAAAATATTTTATTAGGCCAAACTTGAATTTGAAAGCTTTAATGAAAAATGTTCAATTCTTTTTTCTTTTATTCTTTACATTTCCTTTTTTGAAGTATTTTTCTGACCATTTACATTTTTATTCTGTTGCTTACTACAGAGACAATCTTTATTCAGTAAAAAAGAAAGAAAAAATAACTGCCCCTTTTCTTGCAAGACTTGTAATTATAAGCAGTTTGTTAGGAATCTAATACTTAGAAGTCTTTTTCAATAGTCTTTAAGGAGAGTATAAATAAG